CATTACTTTTCTGTTACATTGATATCTGTAGACGTTTTTCAATTCATTCTTATCTGTTGGTTTATTTATAGTAATTCTTCCCTACTACAGAACGCTTGTACACGCTTTTTTCTAGGTAAGGAGTTCTCAACTTTTATGTGATCAGGGGACCCTTATTCGAAAATTTATTTCCAGTGGAACCCTATCGTACACACACACACACACATATATATATATATATATATATATAAGAGAAACACATTATATGCATTATTTTTTTATTGCAGGTGAGATTGAAACATAACATCAGATTAAATACCAAATTTAATATTATTTAAATTTCAGTATTGGATTCGAAAGGAATGATATTGTGACCTATCAGCGGCAAAGTTTAGCTTTGTTTCTTTTTAAAGTGTTATACATTATTGCTTGTGCAAACTAAACATGAATATCATGGACATAGAAACAAGTATATAACCAGTAACTGTAATCAGTAACCTGCGAAAACTTAGCACGATCAACAGTGCAGGATACAGTATGGTAAAAAAAAATTGGTATTGATTCTTTTGGATGACCAGATTTTATGACTGAGGCAAATGTGGCTGTATCAATACACCTGTAACGATACTAAAGTGTTAGAAATACAGAACTTCCAATAGTTGTACAAACATATTATCGAACAGATTTTTTTAAATATAAAAGGAACTTGAAACTTCAGTAACCAAAAGTGTATAAACAAATATCATATGGATAAAAATATTTGATGAATCAAAAAAGTTAAATCATAAGTAATTAGTTATTTATCATCAGTTGTCATAACACTACAAAGGGGCCCGGCATGGCCAGGTGGCTTAGGAGCTCGACTCGCAATCTGTGGGTCGTGGGTTCGAATCTCCGTCCCACCAAACATGCTCGCCCTTTCAGCCGTGGTGGCGTTACAAAGTGACGGTCAATCCCACTATTCGTTGGTAAAAGAGTGGCCCACGAGTTGGCGGTGGGTGGTGATGACTAGCTGCCTTCCCTCTAGTCTTACACTGCTAAATTAGGGACAGCTAGCGCCGATAGCCCTCGTGTAGCTTTGCGCGAAATTCAAAAAACAATAAAACACTACAAAGGTTTTATATTTTTGGGAATTGAATGATTTTTGTATAATATAAATAATGTATTAAAAAGCTGGTAATTTATGTTTTATGTTCAGGTTTGGGTGTGCGTTCTTTTGTCATTGATTGTGGCGACCATATTTTTAACCTTCACCACCAACGTAACCATGCCAGGGAAGACAAGAAATTCGTGAATTTCTACGATATGGTATCTGTGGGGATGTTTACTCTCTCAAGGTTAGACTGATTTGGTTTCTAATTATGTGATGGTAAATATACACACACATATATATGTATATATATATATATATATATATATACATAAAAACATGATTTGGTGAAAATATGATGAAAAAGTAGTGAAAGATTGCATGTAGATAAAAAACTAACTATGGTTAGTTAACTATGGTTTAACCATTAACTATGGTTTAACTGATTTGGTTTCTAATTATGTGATGGTAACTATATATATATATATATATACATAAACACATGATTTTAACCAACCCGAGACATCTCTTTTATTGGTTTAAGGCAAAAACTATTTGAAACCTTAGTTAAATCACAACTTATAGTTATACACGTTCTGTATCAAACTGTAAGTTAAATGCGTTTGTTTATTTTTCAGGAAGTAGAATTCCATTTAGCGGAGCTCTAAGTGTGAAACTTTTCCTGGTTTCCTGGTGGGCATTTGCAGTAATATTTTACTCATCTTATGGTGGTACACTGAAATCACACATGACCATCTTGACCAAGGATCAGTCAATCGATACAGTCTACGCCCTGAAAAGAGAGATATCAAAAGGACGTTACACTTGTGGCGTATTAAAAGGATCAAATCTTGTAAATGCAGTTTTGGTAAGGAATGGTCATAGTTTCAATGAACTACCTTGTTGATCCCTAATTCTGTACAAATTATAAAACTGGATTCGTAGTAAAAATTCTACTACTAGATTTTAAATAATAGCCGTGAAAAACTCTTGATAATTTTGCTTCGGGTATAACTTACTATTACTTATCACAAACATAAGCTGTACATAAATTTACTAAACAGACGTTTTTTATATCCTTTAACAATGATATTATAATGTCATTATTTTTTTCGAACGATTTGTTGTTTGGAACTAACCACAAACATACACAAGGGGTGATCTGTGCTCTGCCCACCACGGCTATCGAAACCCGATATATAGCGTTGGAAGTCTGCAGACATACCGCTGTGCCACTGTGGGAGGGGGGGGGGGGCTTTTTGATCGACGCGCATAGTTGTTGTGTTTACTGTGCAACTGGTGGACTTGTATGGTTAATACGTTGATGCTAGAAAAATAACGTTTAATATTAGAAAAAATACGTTTTCTTCATTTATCAGAGAAATTACAACCTTTGATTTTTTCTCCACTTATGTAACCAAAACTTCATCTGGCGACTAGCACATAATATTCTGGAATAAAACACCAGTTGTTTCTAAAACTTTTAATTTGGAGTACCTTAACCTGCTAAAAATTAAACTATAGATAGCCGTAAAAACAAAACGTAACAGATTGAATCCTCTTTTTATATAGAAAGATTGTTTACAACGTGTTACATCAAGATGTCTCCCAGTGGCAATTTCAATTTTTCATAACAAAAAACCTGACAGCATTCAATACTGTGAAATTATAAATTCTGACTTTGTTTATAACATAAAACTACATGTTAACAGGTGTAAAATGTCAGTCTATATTGTAAGAAAAACAGAAACAATATTTTAGACTTCGTTTAATGTCTTATGTATATATTAAGATTTATTTCCTTAAATAGAATTCAATGAAAAACAAATTAATATCTACTTTTGAATTTAGAATTTTCCAAAAAAATCATTAAAGTTATTGCACATGTTAAAAATGGCATTTGTTTTCAAGAATGCCTAGTGCAGCACGTTACATAAAATAACATTATTTGTAAAACGTTAACCAACTGGTGTCATATAATGTTGCGACACAGTTCCTTTTTAGACAAACGACTGACTATAGAGTTTTTTCTATACTTGCAAATTCCAACTTCAAAACAATGCTACTTTGAGTACTGTAATACCATTTTAGTAATTTTCCATCCATTGACAAATTAAAACATTATATAATATAATAACAATATCGTTTGTAACAATTAAGAAGTTAACGAATAAAATTACAGTCAACGGAACGAGCGATCAGAAGACTTGAAACTTGAAAAACTAGTTTCGACACATTCCTGTGTCTTTTTCAGTTTCGTTTTGTCTTAAGGTCAGAAATATGTGTAGCTTGAAGTGAGCTTGGAAGGTGTTGATACTGAAGAAGAATCAAGGACTTCCTACTGGGAACCTTCAAGAATCCATCTAGCAAGCATGCTGCAAGAACATACAATATAACACAAAGTGTAAAATTACACAAAATAGCCCATACTGTAGTATCAAATAAACTCAAGCATGTAGAAGTAAAACTCAAAATGAAATTCGATTATTTGCTGGAAAATATTTTGTGGTGTAAAGCTTCACAACTTGATAAAAATGTTTTAAACCTGTCATTTTATAACCTCTCCGGATTAGAACGAATAACCCTAGATTATAACTCATCTTTTTCCTTTAGGAATGCAAACTTGAATATAGATTTCACTTCGGACATTGTTAAGACAGCCAAGAACAACAGTGAAGATATAAACCTCCTAACTAATTGAATAACTAGTACATTATATAGTAATAACGCCCCACAGTGGCACAGCTGTATGTCTGCGGATTTACAACGCTAGAAACCGGGATTCGATACCCGTGGTGAGCCCATTGTGTAGCTTTATGCTTAATTACAAACACTACATAAAGATTTGAAATATCTGAGATATTTATTTAAGTATTTTCTCATTGTATCATGCTCATCTCGTTCCGTTGTCATTTCATGCAGAGTTAAGTGATCAAAACTGATCTTCGTATGTTACGTTGCAAAAATGAAAACGGTATTTATTAAGGTATGACATTAATTTATAATAATAATAATTGTGTTTGTTGTTGTTGTTGTAACATTTGTTATCTAATTTGTTAATTATATCAATTTATTTTGCATGCTATCAACTGTAATGTCCTTAGTTTTTTTCCTGCATTGCTCTTTAAACTGTTCACTGATTGTTTAGAGTTATCAGAATCGTTGTTGTGTAAGTAAATGTTTAATGTTATACATTAAAATAGTGGTAATGTGATTCCAATTCCATCGAACTTCTATTTGTACAGGATTCAAACAATCCAATCTATGGGGATTTAGGTGGTGTGAAAGGAAAGAACTATGTTGATCTGGTACAAAATGTTACCCACGGCTTACTGAAGACTTTAGACAACAATTACGTTTATATTGGCACTCGTGGAACAACCGAATTTCAAGTTACAAAAATGGGAGAAGACAGGTTTGCTTTTGCTAAAGATACTTTCGCTAGTTCCAGTAATGGAATAGCTCTTCAGAAAGGGAGTCCATGTAAAACATCGTTTGATAAGATGTAAGTGTTTGTTGAGTTATTTCAATCTGAATAGCTTATCAGTTTAGATGTGTTTCTGACATAAAATGTTTCTCTCGGATTTTGCGGAAAGCTACTCCAGGGCTATCTGCACTGGTCGTCTCTAATTTTGAAGTGATAGACTAATGGGAAGGCACACAGACAACATCACCCACCGCCAAATTATGGGCTACTCTTTCAATAACGAATATTGGGATTGATTGTCACTATATCACTCTCCCCCTGGTGAGGCAGTGGTAAATCTAAGGACTTACAACTCTAAAATCTGGGGTTCGATTCCCTGTGGTGGACACAGCAGATAGCCCAGTGTGGCTATATTTTAATACAAAGAAACAAGCCAGCAAACCAACGTTAAATTATATAACTAAGCCTCAGCTCAGACTAGATAATAAAAACTAATCAAGACTATGTTATTCCAAATCAAAGTTAATCCTTCTAACATTAAAATGTATCAGATAAATACTTTAAACTTCAGAATTGCTTTGTCTTCAATATCTCTCCAATATGCTTATTACGGCTGTAGTTATGCCAAAAAGCTCTTTGCTTTTCATTCATTTGTTTGGTTCCAATGTCCATTTAACTCTTCTTCATCGGGATTCAATCCAGGTTTTGGACTTACGGAGGGTCAGGTTCAGCGCTGACCTCTTCCTTCCTCTCAGGAATTATTATTGTGTTTGCACAGTTACCGAACCCTAGGTAACAACCCTTGTTACATTGTTGCATTACTCACAGTATGCTAAATTTTGTCCATTGTCCACAGTTTCAATTAACATACCCTTTTCATGCAATGTCCAATTCATGAGATAATATTAACTCGTATATTTTCACTAGCCTCACTTATGTATGATCGCACTATTAGTCCGTGTTCACAATACAGTTCCGCTTAGCAGTCATATACACACACACACACACACATATTCTATTTTAACATACAGAACCCTAGGATTCAGTTAACTGTTTGGCCTGTAAGAGTTTTTATGTATGATCTGAAGTATATATATCCTTACTCTGATTGGTGGTACTTGCGTTTTGGATGGGACAGAGCTTGGTACTACTTAGAAAGAGGGTGTGTTCATTGGATTTTGCATTTGTTGAAAAGCCAACGCTAATAGCACTAATCACACTTCATAATTCAAAAGAAAAGCTAGTTAAAATACGTTGAACATAACATTATGTCTAATATTCGTTACCTCTCATACAACATCAACATAAATGCCAAACCTGATAGTTGTTTTCATGTTCGCTCGATCTTATGGAGTAAACGATCCCTTTGTGTTTCAAAGAGATATTCGCGATAATATTTTAATCTATAACGTATCTCACATATAGAAACTGTAACACATACCCTTAAGATTATCTAATAGATGACTTGTTAGAAATATTCATAAACATATTATATTGAGAATTTAGGCATGTCTGTTATACTAAAAAAAGTTTAAACAAACTTTGATTTAATAAAATATTTTTTCTTTTCATAGCTCTTTTTTTCTTTTATGGCGAATATTAGAAATTAATGTAAACCTCTTTATAATAAACTCAAAGGTATACTTAATTGCATTGGCCATTTTATTACAAGATTGTATGGTACCTTAATATTTGAATAAGGGAATGAATTAAGAGTGAACATAATGCAGAATTTCAAGCATATGACACCAAAAAAACGCATCTTTCATGAAGCACGAATTATAAATATGGTACACTGATTTTTAGTGACATTTAATTACATGTTAATATATACAAAATATAGGACATAAAAAGTGGTATATGACTGTAAGAAAACCAAACAATTTCTATCCACTATTAGTTATTTGAAGATGTTTCTTTGTTGGATGGATGATTTTCTCTCTCAGGCTCCGTTGCAAATGCAGGACAGAATTGTGAGAGTTTGCACATGACGGACGGAAGGTAAAGAGATAATGTTTGCACAGATACTTTCTGCAATTCACGCAGGTAACGTCTGCCTTACTGTCATTACTTGAAGGGCAAAAGTTGCATCTTTCACACTTTTGCGAATATCTGTTACTGCAGACAGGGATGTACTGAATTCTCCTGCCTGAAAACTCTGGATAAGAACAAATGATGCAAGTGCTCCAGACCTTCTTAATCTTCTTTGAATGAGGATTGTAATGTTTTTCCTGACGTATCTAAGAATATTCTGCGTCGATACAGTTTGCAAGCGTTCTACATTGTATCGATATCAGTTTAAAGGACAAAAGCATTGTATCCTGATACAT